GGGGGGGGGGGGGGGGGGGGGGGGGGGGGGGGGGGGGGGGGGGGGGGGGGGGGGGGGTTGCTCAAGGTATCCTCCTTTGGGGGTAATCGATAAAGAACAAAATTGATTTTTGTCGTGTGATTGGTGGCCCGGGACCGATGACACGAAGAAACTACAGGGTGGAACAATGCAACAGATGAATGTTTGGGAGGGCATTCGACAGAAGGGGAGCAAGCTAGGGTGAAGGCACGGCGCAACGGGAAAGGAAAAAACGAAAAGATCGAACAGCTGTTGGGACGTGTCTGCGGCAACTTCGACAGGCGTGCTGTTGGTTCCGTCACAATCGCAGCAGCCAGCCCACAGCAGTGATAGTACGGTGCAATGCCCTCTTAATGTCGAGACGTCATCTTAGCCCGTGAACGAATGAAGGGCCTCTTGGAAAAAGGCCCCGCCAAAGTCGCAGTAAGGTTGCAATTCGGTCACAGGAGGATGGTGTTAAGCATGGCACGCATCGCGGCCCTCCCTTTCCTGCTCCTTCCTCACTCCCAAAATAGTTACGCTCAACACCATCACCATCATTGTCACCCGCATTACTGAAATCCGTCTTTGCGTGTGAATGTCATCTGGGCTTGGAGACGCCCTTACGAACAAAAACATGAACAGGAGCGGCGGCGGCGGTGGCAGCAATTGCAGTTGTTATAGGTGTGTTTGCTGCATGATGCATGTCCACCACGCCGTCCCAACGATATGGCTGCAAAGGTGTCCGCAACACCATCGATGTAAGCTGAAAGACATCCTACCCGGCTCAAACACTCCTCCAAGAGGAGAGGGGGGGGGGAAGATACTCGTGTAAACGCATGCCACAAAAGTCGATAGACCATTGACCCCACAAGGGGGAGGAATATGGGTATAAAACAAACTCGAACCACGCGAAGGACGAGAGATTTGACAAACAAGTAGAAAATTTCGCAGTTCACCGTGCGCCCAAAACTTGCGCTTGCTCGCACCCACCTCGTCTGTTCGTCCTTTCTCCTCTCGTCGTCTTGGCTTGCCAGCTCCCGTTGTTTCCACCGCAAGTACCGCCGAAAGTCTCTCCGGCAGAAGAGCGTCACCGTGCTCCCCAGGTCCGATGATTCTTCTGTTGTTTCCAGTATAACGAACAAAGAATGCACAAAAAAAAAATCAGAAGCCGGCGTTCTTTGTCGCCTTGTGAAGTTTACACGCGAGTTAATCCTTGAAGACTCACTTGTTAATTATACCTCTTGGAACAGCAGCTCCTTGCTACTTTGCTCTCTTTGTTGCCGTGGTCTCTTCGGCAGTGAGGATAAGTAGCTCTGATCTGACACGGCACGGCATGCTAGGTCTGTGGGCAAGAAAGGGCTACACCAAAGAGACCGCACACCAGAAAACCTCACGTTCCACCACCGAAGGTGGAAGCCCGTTGCTTAGCCCTTGTGTCGCATCAGACGAGATCGCGGCTTCCTTTTCATCCACCGCCGTCACAGCAGTGGAAACGTTCCTCCCTCCCTTCCCGCTAGGAACCGCAGCAGGTCGGCCCGCCGTGTTACCGTGTGCAAGAACAACAACAGCACCGCCTTCCTTGGAGGATTTACTTGAGCTCGAGGCGTTTACGTCGACTTCGGCCGCTCCATTCGCCGCTGGAAAACCCGAAGCCGTCTTTGTCCCGGCCCGGCCTATCGAGCCGTTGGATTGTCTTCGGCTTCTCGACGGGTACTGGCGACGCGAGCTCTCGCTGCAGGCCGGGCACAACCACTGGTGTTATGGGGCGTGTGTCGGGCAGAGCGACAGGCATGGGGAGCCGGTGGGTGAGGCGGGGCAGGTAGTGCCGTGCAGCACGAGCAGCAAACGGCCTTGCTGGCGACAATCCCCGAAAAGAGTCATACCCGTCAAGCTGCCGTGGATCATGAGGACGGGAACAGAAACCTTGCACAGGAACAATGAAAGATGCAGCATTTGTGCTTCGAGCATACCGCAGCAGCTCGGGATCTTCCGTCCGCATCAAAGGCAAGCTTCTGACTTGCTCCAGAGTGCACTAAGCGCGTTCGAAGTACTCCGAGAGGCGGGAACCACAGCTGACCAGCAGCACAAGAGAAAAGCTACCGTCCTTACGCTCTTGTGCCCTGTGTGCTCTGAGGCACATTCACTGCCTCCCGCTGCTGCTGAACTGCTACGTTTTGTTAGCGCCAGACCCGTGTCCTGCTGTGTGCACGTGAACTCCGATGTTCGCATGCAAGGCTGGCACCCAAGACACCGCAACGAAGGGCCGCTCCAGACGGGTTCAACAGTGCAGGGGTGTGGCCACGGGCAAGTCCTACAACCGTCGTGCACGGCAGAAACCAACCATGCACAACGTTCGCGTTGTTCGGCGTCGTGTTTTCTCTCGCGCCTTGCCCCCCATCTGTTTGCGTCAACCATACAAATGACGCCCATAGCGCTTACTGCCACAAGAGCGCGCGCAACATTGGATCATGTGCGCTGCTTCGCCCGGCACCAACTACCCGGCGATAGATATGGTACGTCTTTCGACACCGCTGGTGCACATATTCGCGTTGTACCACCCAAGCACCAGCCCCACATCGCGCGCCACCCCCTTACCCGTCGATCAGGCAGGTCCACCAAAGGGTTGGGCAAACAGAAGGTGTGTTGCATCGTGATGCATCGGTGGCACGACAAGATGCTCTCGGTGAAGCTGTGCCTGCCGCAGATGTCGCATCTCGGCTGATGGGTCGGCGTGGCGAACAGCAAATCGAGAGGGAATTTATTGCATCGCCCGGCCAGGAGTTCGTTAATCGAAAGGATCCTCCCGCTGTTGTTGGTTCTGCTGTCTGTTGGTGACGATGGGGATGGTATGGGTGTCGTCTTCGTCATCATCTGCGACCTCTATGGTACACACATGTAGTGCAAAGCGGAACATACTGCCCTTAGAAGTCGCAGTCTATGGTTGGGGGGTGCGTGCTATGCTTGGTTCTGTTCTGCCTTTTGGTTTAACCACTGCATGTGTCACAGTCGCTCGGGAGGACCTCTTCCCACCGTAAGCAAGCAATGGTCTTGGCTCTCTCCTAACCGCTCGATGGTGAATAGACAAAAAGCCATGCTTCAGACTGGATCCAATAACATATCCGATATTCTGGGCAAAAATGTGGTATTTCGGTGCCTTCCACTTCACCGCGACAAGGGTCCAGCAATCCTCTCGCCCTTGTCACCTGGCCAACGCTTCGTGAGCAGATGCAAATGGAAGGGCAATACCGCGGTAGCGTGGCCTTGACATGCCGAGATTTGAAACCAGGACAACATGCGCGTGTATTCTCTCGACGCAATCATCACCCTCACGGACAGAACTGATGAAGAGGCTCTGGACCACACCGGCAACATAGTGCAACCTAATCGCAGCGGCGTCGGGTTGCATCACCCGTCCTTCAGAACCTTACCTGTCCCTAATCGCTCATCCCATTGGCTCGTACATACCACACGCCACCACGGCCTGCAGGTGCATGTATACCGTACGGGTAGTCTTCACCTACATAACGTGCTTTTGGGGAGGGGAAGCATCCAACCAATGCAGCCCTTGGTTCAACCTACGCCTGATTCCAATCCACGATCACACCTTCGATTCCGAACGCGTCCTGTCCTGGCCCATATTGTCCCGAAACCACGCCACTGCTGCTGCTGCTGCGGTGCTTCCCTAGGAACACACGACACAACAAGCAGCGGGCGTGGCTGCCTTGATCGTAGGCGCCATCTGAAAATAGAGACTGTCAAGAGGGGTGCGGGAAAACACACGAAGGGGGGGGAGGGGGGGGTACCCGTGGTACATCTCGAAGGCTGAAAAACGGCACAACAACAACCTAACTCTGAACTGCAGCGACACTCCGCGAGAGCTGGGCGCACTACATACACGCCGGCGCGGCCAAGCGCATCGACAGACAGGGGTGGCACATCCCTCGCCGACTGCCTACCGCAACTCGGGACGTTGCGGGAGCGTCTGCAGAGCGCGCGTGCACGGCGAGAGAGCCCAGACTCGGGTTCTTCAGCAGCAACAGCAACAGCAGCGGAAGAAATTAAAGATGAACCAGCAGGGAGACGTCTCCCCGTCTGCAGACACCACGCCTTCTCTCGGGTCCCAGTACTCGTACAGCGAGCAAAACCCGCTGACCTCGGACGACCCTTCGGTCTACTACACGGACGCCGGGGAGCCGAAGAAGCCGCAAGCGGTCGCTCTTCACGGTTGGCAGAGGACCGTTGGCGTCGATGATGACTTTGATGCTACCATACCCGTGTGCCTCGGCGCACCGGGGACTGGGCTTGCCACAGCTAAGGTGCCCGCGAACGGGGGCGCAATGCTCGGGCCCAGCATGGGCAGAGGGAAGCCACTTCGCCCGCAGCAACAGCAGCAGCAGCAGCAGCAGCAGCAGCAGCAGCAGGAGAACTCAGCCGCGGCGGGGCAGCCGACGTCAGCGCCGGGCCTGGGCCTGGGCGCCGTGGTGGACCTCGGTAACGTGAAGGTTACCAAGGAGGACAAGAGAGAAGCTAAATCGCTGAGGGTGCAGCCGGCGGCGGAAGGCGCGGCGCCGTTGCCCTACCCCCGCGTAGCCGACGTTGTCTCGGAGACCGACTCCTCCTCTTCCTCCTCCGCGGGGACGGACGACGACGACCCTACCGGCCGACAAAAGGGACGGCAGGAGAGTCAGTTCGAGACGAGCTCGGCTGCTTCCTCGGACATGAGCTTCTTGGTCAACACCGCCTCCGGGGCTTTCTTCGGTGGCAGGCAGACCTTCGGGCGAGCCATAGAGCCGCGGATTCCGGCCACGGTCGGCGAGGAGCGCCTTCACAACAGCCTCGCGCAGTACATGGGGAGCCGCCGAACCCTCGCGTCCAGGGGCGGCGCAATGTCCACCGTGGGTGAGAGTCACACATCTATCACTGCTGCTACCGCTGACGGAACCGCCACAGGAGGAGCGGACAGATTGGTCGGCGAGGTGGCGGCGGCGGTCGGTACCAGCAGCGCGAACACCACGGCCTTGTCCCTCAGCGGCGGCAGCGGCAGCACGATGAACACGGGCGACAGCCAGGAGAGCGCCAAGGGCGTGGCCACCGCCGCCGCCGCCGCTCCGGAAGAACTTGATCGTAGGAGTAAATTTCGTCGCGGGAGCAAAGGCGGCAGCAGCGGCGGAAGAGAGGAAGAAACCAAAGGAGGTTCCGCTACTGGAAGAGGTGGTCCCTCGGAACGAATAGCCAAGCGGTCCAGCTTCGGCGACGAGGATGACGAGCCCGTGGAGACCGGGGAGAGAGCGATACATTGCAGCTGCCTGCGAAGAACCTGGCCTTGGGGGAAGGTGAGAAGTACCTTGTGCCATTTCATCATTTCAGGCCAAACCCATGGCTTTTTTGTTCTCGTGTGCTGGCCCTTACGTGCAGCAGGTTTGAAAAATGATTCTCTCGGAAAGATTGTTGTCACATCGCGCACGTCGGAAAGTTTAGTGGGAGATGTGCGTGGTACCTACCGCTCCGCCCCACCACCTTACTCTTAGAGCGATATTAATTGCAGCTTTCACCCCATGGACTCAAACAAGCGTCAGTGCCTTGGAAGAAAGGGTGTTGAACTGCTGACCGCTGTACTCACGCACGGAACAAAAACATCCGATCAACCAGGGCCGTGGGCTACAGCAGTACTATTCCAAGGACTATTAGCTGCCGTCGATGTATTTGCGTACCGTCGCGTGTGTGTTCAAGTGTGGCAACGGCAACGGTGCAGCTGAATTATGTGGGCCCCCGCTTCTGTCTATCTCTGCTTCTGCAGTTAATGTGCGATGCGTGATGACTTCCATTGTGACATGTCCTATGCATATCCGTGTAATAGCTGCGACACAAAGCGCTAACGACGAAGTCGTGACGCAAGTGGCATGACTGCTGCTGCGCCCCATCAGACGGAGTTCTTGTAATCGTGCAGCACACGACTGCTACAAGGATGCATACGTCGACTGGTTTGCTACTACTGGATGTACTTGTCGAGCGAAACGCTTCTCTCATTTGCTTCCTTATCATAACATCATATGCATAACCGTACCATTTACCAAGAGACTAGATTTACACTTCCGCCCGGATTCTAGTATGAGTCCGGAGCTAAATAGCGAAGGTTTTACGGCTGCTCATTGCTTCGATGCCTCTGTGACAAGCAGGCTGGTTACGAAGCTTGTTTTGTTTTTCGTTTTGGTTTGTAAAGAACACGATTATTGTCATGTTCCACGGTATGTCCCTAACCTGGTCGGGCGGGGTACAAAAATCAACTGATGGGACAAGTAGAGTAACTGTCAAACGCATTGTAATTGTTGTACTTGTGTCTCGATATAATGTTCAATTTTTATTTTTGGGGGAAGACAAACAAACCGCACGTACCCATCTCTCTCTTGGTAACACAACTGCGGCCTTTTGTAAGGATTTCGTGTGAAAGTCAAGTGCCCGCAAAACAAGTGTGTGTACGCGTTCGTTCCAGTTCGTGAAAATATGCGAATGCGGTTGCTCAGCGCATGTATGTTTCGGAAGTTGCCCCGCCCCGGTAGGAAGTCGTGTGGTGACCCACGCGTGGTTGGTTACCTCAATCCTGGCGCTCTTGTTTGGCGTGTGTCAAGACTCTCGTACACGGAAAAAGTTTTCCTACAAGTAAGCAGATGAAGCCCTTCTTCAAGGTCGGTGCTCTTCCCTCTGCTCGTGGGTGTTTTCCGTAACCGTATGTGGATACCCGGTGGCCGCAAGCGGGTTATAATGCGAGACCCGGGAGGGCGCTTGAGGGTTCTGTCTCTCTCCCCTTGTTCCAACATTGGTTCATACATGTGTGTCAGTACATATCAATGTTTTTATATGTGTGTCAGTAAATGACTACCACGCTCCGCGAGAACGTTCACCACGGGTAGTTCGTTTGTTTTAGCTTGCTCGGGCCCACGGCGGCACAGCTGATGGTTGATTGTGGTTCGTCCTTGACGGTGATGCGGCTCTAGTGCTACGCACTCACCGCCTTGAGCAAGGTGTCCCGGAGAAACAGCTTCTTGAAAGATGCCCTTCGTAAAGAGCCCTTCGTGAGAAAGAAGAACTGCTGTAGGCTGGGAAAACAAAAATGGAAACCCGTATCATATCGTTGTCGTTCAGCTCCCGGTGAAAGCCGTAGTGTTCTTCCGGCAAGCAAGTCCCGTTGATGTCTTGTAGACGTTACACCATAACCCGGTCGGTTACAACACCTACAATCGAGACGGTTGAATCTGCGTGTCCAGGCTTGCCGTTGTTGTATGCTTCGTCGGTTGCATTGTAAACAGCTCGAGCTGTCATACCCCCGCCCGGCTTTGATTCTCTTGCACCTCCGCACCCAGCACTTGGTGAAGTGGAAACGCTCACTCCTTTTTGCCATGCCCCTGCATGTGGGGTATACCTTTCTTCGACCTTTTGCGCACCCACACGAACACACACCTTCTTTCGTCCTTGCGCGTCCGCTCGCCTGGCGCAGATATTTTCGGGTGTGGTGACGTTAGGTGGCGTGGTGGTTTTGGTGGTTTTGGTGGCCACGGCGGGAGACTCATCGGGTAGCGGCAGGCGCTTGTTTTCGCCGCAGCTGCTGTCGTCAAGCGGTGGCGGGGCCCCCCCTTCTCATTGGCCGGCGAGGGGTCGGCCTCCTGTCGGCGCCGGCGGTAACGACATGAAGGTCTTGCGCTATTCTCACTCGAGGCGGAGACTTTCGGCGTCAAGAGCCGATCTCGCTGGAGGTGGGAGTGCCGCTCGCCTTCGAGAAGTACGTCCGATGAATTTCGACTACAGTACCCAGGCAGCCAGCGGCTGTGGAGATGCTACGGCTAGTGGTGATGTTGCGGGTGCTGGTGTCGGGGGTAGTGGCTCCGAGCCGCCAGGGGGGGGCGGGGATTGGGCAGGCGGGATGGATAGCAGAGGGCGGGGACCACCAAGAGGGAGGGATGGTCGGTTGCGGGGGAGAAGAAAAACGCCGGAGCCGGAACGACGAAAGGAGGAGGACGCCCGTGCGACCAGCAGCGGGAGTACAGAAGAAGGTGCCACCACCTAACGAAACTTGTTGCGCATCCCTACTCGACGCTTGGTTGATGAGTGGGGAAAACGAACAGGGAGTGGCTGCTACTGGGATCTAGTGTGGTAAGGTTTAAAGCTCTCTAGTGTGGATGTTGTTCAAGCTGTTGTTTGGCGTGAGAACCAAGTCCCCCCTTTTAACTACTGAAGTGGTGGAGCGTACTATATTTGGGAGATGAGAGAGGCGAAAAAAAATGGGCGGCTGCGTCGCTTGGGTATTTCGCGTTGTCGGTCGACACGTTCTACCGTCAATTTTCAGAACATTTTTTTTTCGCCCCACAAGCTGAGCGGCAGCCACCACAGAGCTGCTATGTGATGCGTTGTTCTGGAATTGATAGCGTTTGATGAGCATTTCTTTAATATCTTCCAACCTGAAGGACCACTTCTTGTTCAGGCGGCTGGTGTACTGTGCGGTGTAATCATTAAACGCGCCGGGGGGCGCCACCAAGCAAGGTTGCCGAGACCGGCCTATCTTTCAATCTTGTAAGGAATTTTTAAGCCCCCCGTTGGGCTGTGCGATCCCCTCGACGCCTGGGTCGAGGTTGTTTCTGTTACGAACTTGTGTTTGTTTCTCTTCCGTGTTAGTTGTGATGATCGCATGTAGCAGAAACCGTCTGCGGTGGCATCACACGAGGTAGAAGCTGCTGCTGCTGCTGCTGCGGCTGTCTGTTGAAGACTGCTTCTTGTCTCGGGTCCTTTGTCGAATCATCTCCTCTACAGCAGTAGCTGTTCTATTTCGCAATGCAGCAGTGTACGGCAGGAGAGACGTGAAAAACACCCCTCTTGTACATTTTTTTTTTTTTTAACGTGGAAGTGGGCAAGAAAATGCCGGCGCCAAGCTTGTGGCTGACGTGCGGAGGAGCGTGTGGACTGTTCACGGTGTGATTTACTCGGTACACATAAAATTATGGCGTACCTACAGTATTCTTTTTTTTCGCAGGGCAGACGAAACAGGGCGGTTTTGAATCAGGACATGTGCTTTTTTTGTGTCACCGTTAGTGCACCACGCTGATGCAATTTTTCTGTGGTGGCACCTTTCCGTAGATGTAAGCCTGCCTCCGTTTGTGTGGGGTGGGGCTAGACTTGCTTTCAGAAAACGCGCCCATGTGCGTGCACTCGGTGTACTTTTGTTTCTTTCGCTGTTGGGATTGTGTTGGCTGTCGTTTTTGGGCCTCGAGTCGTCAGTATGCCTCGATGTACTTGTTGTGAACGAGGTGGAAGACGGTGTTCAAATCACTCTCCCAGGATCTTGCCCGAAGTTGAAATCGGTGGCCGCCGGCATACCTGTTCTTTCCTATCCTACCGAAAATGCCACAATAGGGTACGGAGTGAAGCGGCCGGCCACGGCCACAAGCCGTGATCCAGCATCAGTCGCAATGAGCCTCCAGCATCTGTAGCCGTGCACAGCAGCACCAGTGACTTGAGAGTAAATCCCCCCAACACAGCGAAGATAGAGTCTCCCACTGTACAGCGAATCGGGGGTTAGGATAAGGATGAAAGGTTAGTCTTGTTAGCAGTAGAGTTCCTAAAGGGGAAATGCATTGAGCCACTAAGAGCCGGCGTGCTGGCCGCGCGATGCAGGGTCGTGTCGAAGAATCCCGAGCTTTTTCCCAAAGAGGGTGGCACGAAAAAGACAGGGCGGGCGGGAATTATTTTTTATGTTGGTGGGCGGGAATCGGATCGCCACAAGGCGGTACACATGATGAAAATGTGGCCAAAGGAGGGCACTCAGAAGGAGGAGCTTGTGGTGGAATGGTTGCAAGGGGTACCCTGTTCTGCCGGATAAGGGAACGTGACGGATATTGTGCCCCTCTTTGCCTGCTACACCTTAATTCCGTGCTAGCCGAAGCTACTGCTACCTGTGTCATGTATATATTTTTTGCAAATAGTTGATTGTCCTTGCCTGTTGTGCCAGTAGGGGAGAGGACAGAGGTATTGAATGGAGGTCTGAACGTTTTTAATGTGAAGACAGCAGGACAACCATAGCAATTGGGATGGACACCGAGCTCCGACCATCGTACATATGCAGAAAGTACGTTTGCACGTCTACGTTGGTGAGAGGTGCTGGTGTCTGTATCGTACTGTTCATGTTTTTGCTGTTTTTCTTCGCGTTTCTGCTGCTCCTGCAGGGGAGGTTTTCAGGAAGTATGATAACCACGATGACGCGGCTGCTGCCGCTTCGTCTGCTGTACGCAATCACTAGTGCTCGCACGATAATCAAGCTGTGCGCTATTGTATGTGTGCATACATGTAGCGGTGTTTTTTTTTCTTGATGAGACAACAATGACCGGGTCGTTTCGAGTTATTGATTTGTTTTTGACTTTCTGAAGCCCCTTTCAATTCAGTTTATTTTACGGCTTAAACAAGTCGTGCGTCGCGCCGATGACGGTGGTGATGCCTATGCCTCACGTTAACAGTGCCCACCACTGCAACCTCCCAGCGGCATGCATCAAGTCCCCGCAACGATCATTGGTACACCTCTCCCGGGGCAAAATGGTGTCGCACCAAGTCGTAGTCGTGCACATAGGCCGACGCCGCAAGCAGTGAGTGGAAGCTCCGCGTTTGTTTGTCCTCGGCCTGCTGGGTGATGTTGCAACTACTGTGATGATTGCTTCACAGAGAGTCGCATCCCGCCGTGGTATCAGCGGCCCCCCTCGTCATTGACCATCATCTGGCGCGAGTTGTTACATGCACAAGTTTTAAGTGTGATTTATGTACATCCTTTCCCGCGGATTGTGACCATTTTCTTGGGGACCGCCCTCGCTAGAAACCACAGTAAAGGTTTTGAATACTTACATACGTGGAAATGTAACAGGGAGGGAGGGGTACGTAGACCTCATCCCTAATCCTTACCCAACCTCCCCCGATTGCATGATTCATGCAACATGTTTACATGACAAAAAAAAACCTGCGAACGGCCAATACACTAGTCTGTTTTGGCCAGGCACGCCGGGAGGTTCTATAAGGGCCAGCCGGAGCTAGCTCCCCCTTGGGGCATGTGTACTCAAAACGAATGAACCGAGGGCTACTTGTTTTATTACGCCCTTTTAGCTTGTGAGGAAAAAGCAAGGCGGGCTTCAGCGCCTAGCCGGGGATACCCCCTGCCAGCCAGTAAGTGCGCTTTTCCACAGAGGAAGCGTGGCGAGGGGCGGAGGAGCTACCTCACTGATCCTGGCGGTGGAGGGAGACACGCTACTTACCTTCCCCGCACTACTACTGTTCGTGCTTCTGATGGTCAACCATCTGGGCCACGATGTTTCGCACAGCAAAACATGATGCTTCATCGCTTGGGAGGCACCTTGCTCGAATTTACCGAAACTTATGCACATCCTGGATCTAACAACAGACCAGATGAGAAGGTGGCGGGTAGGGGCTGGTTGTGGTTCCCTTTCCATTGGTTGGCACCGTGAGCCGCTGTCACAGCACTTCGGTAAATCGATCCCCAAAATCACCCGGCCCCCAACCCCTTACCCCCGATGCCATTCCCTTCTACTCGCCCAGGTACCCACCCAGGTTGCCCCAGCAACAAATAATGCTAACAGCAAATAACGCTTGACAAATAATGCGAAATGAAGGGGTCATCTACAAGTTATTGAAGAAAAGGTGTCGCAAATCGTAAGCAGAACCACGGGGCCTCCCTTTCGCCGTGAACACACCACGCAGGAGGAACACTTTTGCTTCAAAAAACAACCTGCACAACACGCACGCATGCGGCCATGCCCATGGTGGAATAATGGCACTCGCCACGAGAACAGCAAACAAAACAAAGGATGAGGCCCGGGGAGAAACTCGTCGTTTCCTCTCCAAGAGCAGTCATCATGCCATACAGAATCACAATCAACCAAGGGTTAATAATCGCGCTACGTATATTGCGCGAGACGTCCACAGGAAGCGAGTACACCACAAACACACATAACACACGGGTGCGTGCACGCGGCACACGCATGTGCATGCACCGCTAAGGGCGAGAAAAAAAAACTGCACTATTTCCATGACACCCATTCCCCCCCTCCTTCCCAGGTTATCCCCGCTCCCCTATCCCTCCCCTGGCCCAGGGTACCCCCCCACCCCCCC